CTTGCTGGGGTAGACTGTTCTAGTTTCCCGTGACATGGATGTCAGTTATCTGTTATCTCCTGTCAATTCACTTTTCCATTTCTCCACTGCCTTAACAAGCTCATGAACTCACAACACTTTCACTGGATCTAACCAACGCCATTATCCACGGCGCCATGAGTCCTTAAGGTCAAACTATTCTTTTTAAACGATAAATTTCCCATGATTTCTCTCGAACGCTCATACTTGCTTGAAGTGTATCTTAACGTAATCAAATGACATGATACATTATGAAATATACTAAGGACAATAATTAATTTAATATCTGTTTTGCTTATGCGTTAATTTTAAAGAGACATATATTTGAGTAATTACTGTGTTTATAATAGTATTAAATATATTTACCGGTTCTGAATATATATATATATATATATATATATATATATATATATATATATATATATATATATATATATATTTTTTTGATACCGTGAATTGTTGGTACCTAGTGTTTGTTTTGTGGAACAACTATCGCTTCGTGCTACTTCCAAATAACGGTCGCATATAATAGCGTAAACTACCGCCCGTTTTCTCCCCAGATTTGATTATGTTTTGCATTTGGCGTGACGTTTACCTTAGGCTGAATTCCAGAGTATCCGCACAAAATTCAAAATGGCGGCGTCCATGGGAAATCATTCTTAGTGTCGTTTATTTTCTAGTAAATGACCTTCTCATGATTTGTTTTCCTTCAGTGGGCCAGCACAGTCAACCATCAATAAGAGGAGTAACACAATGCAACATTTAATGTGTTAAAAGCTAACGTTAATAAAATGTATCGTAAAATACTGTCGCTACTTCAAATATATATCGTCAACTGCCCAAATAATATCCTTTCTCTATTTGATTTATTTATTTTTCCAAGGGAAAATATAATCGCTCTCTAATTAGTTTAAAGTTTACTACATCGGATGTCTTTTCCAGTAAATACATGTTTCATCGCTATGAATTTAATTTCAACCAACTGAAGCAAAACTTTGATTTAGTGAAACGAAACTGCGTTTAGAATTAGTTTATCATCTCCTCTGTCTAACAGGTCTAATAGATTTCAGATATTAACCCCATGGACGTTTATAACATAAATAATATGCATATTCTTCATTCTTTAGCGTACAAATTCTGAAGAAAAAAGTATTACTGCACCAAAGGCATTTTAAAAGCATTTAGGAAGTATATAGGACTGCAGAAGAGGCTTGTATATGAGAAAAAATGAAAAGTTCTTTTGACTGAAAAGTGAATATAACCTCCAGTAATCGCAGTACTTTGTCAGTCATCATTGAGAAAACACACACACACACACACACACACACACACACACACACACACATATATATATATATATATATATTGTAGTATCTATCTATCTAGCTACCTATCTATTGTAGTCTCTTACTGATCTATCTAAATATTGTAGTCTTTTACTGATCTATCTATCTATCTATCTATCTATCTATCTATCTATCTATCTATATCTATATATATATATATATTTATATATTGTAGTATCTATCTAGCTATCTAGCTATCTATTGTAGTCTCTTACTGATCTATCTATCTATCTATCTATCTAAATATATATATCTATCTATCTATCTATCTATTATAGTCTTTACTATAGTCTTTTTATCTATCTATCTATTTATATATCTGATATATTTATATATTTATTATTTATTTGTTAGTGAGCTATCATTGTAGACTGCTTTCTATCTATCTATCTATCTATCTATCTATCTATCTATCTGTTCATTCTATATCTATATATATATATATTATTGTATATCTATCTAGCTATCTAGCATTCATTCCAGTCTCTATCTATCTATCTATCTATCTATCTCTATCTATTATCTATTATAGTCTTTATATATCTTTTTCTATATTCTTTTTAATGTCTATTTTCCTTTTCTTTTTTTGTTAGTGAGCTAACTCTATCTCATGAATAGCTATCTATTGCGGTCTGTTCATTATCTATCTATCATCTATCTATCTATCTCATTCAGTCCATATCTATCTCATTCATTCCATATCTATCTATCTCTATCTATTCCATCTATCTATTCATTGCAGTCTTATCTATCTATCTATCTATCATCTATCTCTATCTATCTATCTATCTATCTCATTCAGTCCATATCTATCTATCATATCTATCTATCTATCTATCTATCTATCTATCTATCTCATTCAGTCCATATTATCTATCTATCTATCTATCATCTATCTATCTATCTATCTATCTATCTCATTGCAGTCTCATATTGATCTATCTATCTATCTTTATCTATCTATCTATCTATCTATCATCTATCTATCTATTGTATCTCTTACTGTCTCTCTATCTATCTATCTATCTATCTATCTATCTATCTATGTATATCTATCTATCTATCTATCTATCTATCTATCTATCTATCTATCTGTTATCTATGCAGCTATGGTGCAGCTATCTTTTTGCCAATAAGTTATCTTCATACATAAAGGATTTTTTTTCTTCTCAAATTTGAAATCACACACATCCAAAAAAATCAGCGTATATGTTGAATCAATTTGCAACAACCCACCCCCCTTCCTCAATACGAAGATTTTTTTTGTCTGTATCTGTAGACCTGTGAGAAACCAAATATGTCAAGATGTTATTCATTTTGATTTCCTTTTTCTCTCCACTCCCTTCTTTCCTTACGCGCCGGTTCCATTGATTTAAACCTTAAAGATCACGGAGAAGTGGCGTCAGAGTTCGTATTCCAAAAATTGTTGCGAATTGATTAAGAGGCGAATGAAAGAAAAGATCCGGACAACTTTGATATTAGTTGCCGATGATAAAGATTTGCCGTTGTTTTCCTTTCTTTCTTCATTTCTTTTTAGCGGTGACGCTTTGTGTAAAGCTGTCAAGTAGATTCGACTCGGTAAAAGATTTTTTGTTTGTCTTTATTCGCTTTATGCGCAGAAAGAAAGATGAAATATTTTAATAAAGAAGCATTGGATTTTAGCGACTTAAGACCATTTGCCTCGCATCTATCAACTTTCTTCCACTGACATGTCTATAATAGCAGCATCTATGTACAAATGTTTTAAAACTACCCTCTTGTCCGTTTCTCTGTTTTGTCTTCTTTTATCCATCTTTTTTTTTAATCACTATTGAGGAACGAATAAAGATGAACGGGATTCAAGAACAAAGAAGATGGCGATTGACGCTGCGTTTAAATATTTTTAGATTTTATTTTACGGGGAAGCAAGTAAAAAGGAAATAATTCCACGGGTGGGAAATGCAAGAAAAGAAATGGTTGGAGAAGTGACGGCTGCATTTAGCTATCTCAACAATAAACGGAAGGACGTACATGCCAATATATATGGCACGCATAAGTTTATGTTGTGGAGGTAGCAGGGACCAACGCTCGTCAAAACAGTTGACATGAAAATATTTGTAGAAAAGACGGAGGGAAGCCACATTGCATCGGTGAGATAGTGACTATATTCGATATGCCATGTTAGGATCGATTACATTGCAGATCCTGGTTTGAATTTTGTCAAGGACCACAAGATGAATAGCTAACTATTGCGGTCTGTTCATTATCTATCTATCTATCTATCTATCTATCTATCTATCTATCTATCTATCTATCTATCTCATTCAGTCCATATCTATCTCATTCATCTCCATATCTATCTATCTATCTATCTTAACGAGTTCTCCATATCTATTTATCTATCTATGTCTTCTCTATTTATCTCTCTCCCTCTCTCTCTCTCTCTCTATCTATCTATCTATCTATCATTATCTATCTATCTATCTCTATTCCCCATATATACATACTTTCTTATAATAAAGAATCAGCATACATATATATGTATGCATATGTATAGACACATACATACACATAAACACAGACATACACACTCTTCCTGTGTTCGTATGTGTGCCCGTGAGTAGTCTATCTGTTTTAGCTAATGTACGTATATACATTTTTGATCTTCATGGATACCTGTTTTATAATATATATATATATATATATATATATATATATATATATATATGTGTGTGTGTGTGTGTGTGTGTGTAAACCTTTCGCAGTCCAGTTATATCTGTTGATCTATCTATCTATGTATCTTTCTATATATATATATATATATATATATATATATATATATATATTAGATTCGATTAAATCTCCTCTTGACTCAAAATACTTTACGTATATATATATATATATATATATATATATATATATATATATATATATATATATATATATATATATCTCTCTTTCAGTCCAGTTATATCTAGCTAGGTAGTTAGCTATCTCAGCCCGTGCGTATCTATCTATCTAGCTAGCAAGCTAGCTAGATTGTTCATATCTATCTAGGAGGCTGATTAAATCTCTCCATATGTACCTGTGCAAATCTTGGTATAATTGGCGTTTGAAATCGTTACCTATTCCTCTCAACGTCTTTATATCTATTTCAATGCCGGCTCCATTCAGGATGTAGCCACTTGTATATAGTCCAATTAAATGCAAGAATTTCGAAGGCAATTTAATGTTCCTATCTAACCAGCAATATATTCATGTGCCTGTAAAATTTACGATATATATCGCATGTAAACGTCCCTCTTTCTCTAGTACAACTTACTGATTTTGGATTGTTACCTTTTCTCGCCAGCGTCTCTAATGGCTGGTGGAGCTGAGATAATATTCAGAGTTTCTATTGCTGATATACAAGGCTGGGAAGCCTTTTTCTATGAGAAAATTTTACCCGCAAAAACCTCTTACGTTATCTGCTTGCAAAATATTCATAGCATTCTTGGAATAAATATCTATCTACGAACGAAGTAGGTAAAAGAGTTCCTACTTCCAGTTGGGCACCATCTACTCAATTAAGGAACAGTAAATCCGAAAATCACAAAGAGATCACGTGTATCACTCCGAGGTCTGCTTCGCAGCAAAGGCAGTTGCGAAATTTGTACCATCGGTATTAGTCATTGATCAAACTCACTAAAAATGCAATAACTGTTATGTAAATACCGATTTTTATAGCAAATAGTCCATCATCGATTTGTTGGTAGATTGGTTGATATTGTGTAGCGGCATAACAACACCTCTATAGGTTATTTTGTTCGGAAATCTAAATATTTTGAACATGATTTTATGGCTTCACTTAAATGTATATTGAACACAATTGTGTGCTTTTAACTACAGTTTGGTTAGTTGGTTGACTTTGTTTAACGGCATATCAACACCTCTATGGGTTATATATATCTAAATATTCTGAACACGGTTATATTGATTCACCTAAATAATTTTGGAACAGAATTCTATGTTTCAACTACAGATTTGATTTTGTTTAGCGGCATATGAACACTTCTATGGGTTATTAAATGCCGAAATCTAAATATTTCGAATTCAATCTAATGACTCCAACTAGGTATTGTTAGTAACTCTGCTATAAATAGGTATTGTTGGTAAATTTTTTTTATATAAAAAAAAATGTGTTGTTGCTATTTTTATTACAAAAATGTATTTTTATACTTTCATAGTCCATGCTGCTCAAAGAATCCAATGTCTCGATCAGAAGCTTAGCTGCCGGATGTAGCGTATCTTCATACCCAGGACTGGCGTCGATTTGTAACTGTGATCAATATTGTCTTCCTGTTTTATCTGGCAAACATTAATTAACAGGCAACGCAAAAACCTTCGTTGGCTAAAAGACATATTTATAAATTTAGATATCTTACACTATCATCTATATATCTCTTTCTTATTACGAACATAGATATCCGAATTTAAATCTAACTGTACCAGTGTCTAATATTTTGAACTGTGGTGCAAAATCTACCTGCGTCTAATTTTTCCACTTCACAGAAAACCAGTCTTGTGTCTACTTATTTTACGTTAAATGACTACGTATTTTTACTTGTGTATAATCTTTTAGACCTCATTTCATTTGAGAACATTTTACACTTTGGTGTAAGACAAATTGTGTAAATTTTGAACAACAAACCCGTCTAAATATCTTTGACTCTAGTCTAAAATTTAGTTATGCCGATTTTTTTCCACCAGTTCCAGACAGACCTGTTTTTACTGTTTTTTGCCTCTACTTTTTTTTTCTATTTGTTTTTTTTAAGGTATTGTAAAGCGAACTTGCATATAACTTTAAGATTCAAATATAAAATGTACCTTATGTAAAATGTACCTGTCTACATTTTTCACACTAGTGCAAGCGAAACATTTCTAACTTTCTGAACGTTAGTGTAAAACGGAACTGTGTTTAATATTTTGGTCTCTAGTGTAAAACGAACCTGTGTTTAATATTTTGGTCTCTAGTGTAAAATGGACCTGTGTTTAATATTTTGGTCTCTAGTGTAAAACGAACCTATGTCTATCTTTTTGACTCTTGTACAAAACGGCCCTTTTTATTCAGTGACCCGTAGGGACACCACGGGCATTGCAGCCGCATTAGAAGTGGTGTTCTCTCGGGCGTGACGATGCCCAAACCTCTCTTAGACCGGTTTCCACCCAAGGCTATAAAACCCAATCTGTCCTGCTATTTACCTATAGCTGGGAGGAGAAATTATGGATTCATACCTTTCCCAAGGTTATCAGCAATTAAGTGAATGTAATGGATTCGACTAGAATTCGAACTCGTCTCTGAGCTCTTTTACCTTAATGGATAGCGGCTCGGATTAAGGAATAATCCTTAATCCGAGCCGCTATCCATTACTCCATCCTACCTCCTCTCTAATTTTTACTCTCGTATAGTGATTTTCCAAGCGTAGCTTAGATGTGGTACAAGGCCGAAAGTATGGGACACCCAGTGAGGATCGAACTCACTACTCACTCGTAATTGAACTTGCGAGTTAAGCTTGCTAACCATTTCATCGTGTCGAAGCGTCCAAATGATTTTTCAAGCGTAGGTTAGATGTGGTACAAAGTCAAATGTATGTGGGGGGGACCCCTTGAAGTTTGAACTCACTACTCAGTCGTAATTGTTCTAGCGAGACAACCATGTTAACTATTACACCGACTCGGGGTGTTCGTATAAATCAGATTTGCGTATACCTTTTTGACTTCAATGTAATTTGATTTATATTTCCTTCTTTGACTCTGTTGTAAACTGTCCTACCAAATTCTTTCAATGTAAAACTTACCTATGTTTGGTCCTGAGCTTGATGTTTTGAATCGAAGGTAAACCGGGCGGAAATCTATCTTTTAGACACAAGACTAAATCTGATCTAAGTTGACCTTTCTTACTCTAGTGTAAGCTTGACCTATGTCTGTATATGATTCCAGTACAAAATCGGTATATATATTCAAAATACATTAATGTATTGAATTTCGTCCTGTGGGATTCATACCATTCATTATGTGCTAAAAAATGATATTAAATATATTTACAATGTCATTATTAATCACGTAAGTTATTTTAATACGTTTTTTTCTATGATTTTATTCATAACAACACATACAT